TGTCTTGCAGACTGACTCTGAAACATGAATAATCCCAAAATCTCAGTGGCCTTGGCCTCCTTGAGAGCCAGTCTTGAAGTGTGGACTAACTGCCCTCAACTTTTTCCCCAATGAATGCACACAGTCAGCTGGTTGACAAGGCACAGGGTTATGTTCTTCAAACTGTTTTTCTCCCCAAAATCATGCATGCAGTCAATGCATCCATTCTTTTGAGGAGAATGCTCAGGGAGGGAAAACTGAAACACACAGGGTTCCAAAGGGCAACACAGGCAATTGCTATTGAAATTCAACATCCAAATTACTTTCCTATTCTGTTCAAGGGCAGCTTGGTTTTGCTTTGTCTTTAAGAAATATCATTTGAAAATGCCTGTAATGAACAGAGCACTAGGTTTCAGTCACTGGCACCTATCCTTCTGTCACCACAAGATGACCCTTGTGCTGGTCACTCTGCATTCCCTGAAGAAGACTGATGAATCTCAGCCAGTGCCAGGGCCCTGAGTGCTTGAATTTAGTGGCCTCATCCAGCCTCACCAGAGGCCACCTCTGACCCTGCCCATGGCCCAGGAGGCCCATTTCACCCAAACCCACTCCCCCATCATCACAAAGATGATGAGGGGTCTGGAGCATCTCTTATGAGGAGAGACGGCAAGAGCTGGGCCTGTTCTGTGTACAGAGGGGAAGACTAAGAGGGAATCTCATCAGCGCCTATAAATATCTCAAAGGCCAAGAGGATGGTACCAGACTCTTTTCAGTGGTGCCCAGTGACAGGAGGAGGAGCAATGGACATAAACTAAAACATAAGAAGTTTCATCTCAACATAAGGAACAACTTCTTTCCACTGAGGGTTGCAGAGCACTGGAAGTGGCTTCCCGGGGAGGTCATGGAGCCTCCCTCGCTAGAGACATTCAAAACCCACTTGGACGCGGTCCTGTGTAACCTGCTCGAGGAGATCCTGCCTTGGCAGGGGGCTTGGACTGGATGATCTCCAGGGGTGCCTTCCAACTTACAATTCTGTGAGTGGAGCTGGAGGGCGGCGCCGCCACAGCCGGGGGGCAGAGGCGGCGGGGAGGCCGCTCCGCCGAGCGCGGCGGCCCCGCCAAGGCGTTGGGCAGGGCGGCATCTGGCGGCCGCTGCCGGCGCTGCCGCTCCGGTCAGGCTCCGCCGGGTCCAAATTCGCCACGAAGCGTAACCTCGTCCTGTCCATTAACGGCGGACAATTAAGAGGTGGGAGCGCGGCGCGCGTTCCGGCTCAGGTGCCTTTTCCAAGCCGTGATCCGGCCGGCGGGCTCGGGTTTGCTGTTGCCTGCCTGCCTGCCCAGTGAACAGAACCACAGAATCGGTCAGGCTGAAAGCGACCACAGAGGGTCATCTGGTCCAACCTCCCTGCTCAGGCAGGGTCATCCTGGAGCACATTGCACAGGATTGCATCCAGATGGTTCTTGAATATCTCCAGTGAGGGAGACTCCACAATCGGTCACTCACACAATAAAGTTCTTCCTCATATTCAGGTGGAACTTCCTGTGCATCAGTTTCTGCCCATTGCCTCTTGACCTGTTGCTTGGCACCACAGAGGAAAGCCTGGCTCCATCTTCTTGGAGCACGCCCTTTAGATACTTCTATTCATTGATGAGTTAAGTCGCCCCACATACCCTCATTGTGAGCACCCCTGCAATCACCAAATACTACCACTGGCCCCCTAACAGATAGCTCTTCTGCTCCTGGTGAGCCGATCAAGTGTTAGAGAGAATAATTTGCTTGTTATGGGAAATTACAGCTGTTTAGCAGCCACGCAAGACACCTCTGGGTCACCAGCCATGCAGCAGCTTCAACAAGAAACGAGGCAGGTGCATAACAGGGCTCATAGGATGGAGAGTTGGGCCAGGAGGGAGGCATGGAGGATCCGCCACTGCGGAGAGGGACAGCTACAGAGCACCAGCAGCCAACCATGCTAGGGATCAGAGCAGATGCAGGATCTGAAATCCATGCTCTCAAGGAGTAACAGCACGTAATGTTTAACAACATCAAATGGTCATGACACAAGTTTGAAACCTCTTCTGAAGGAACAGCATCTCTACTAATCCAATTCCCATTCTGAACACACCAGGGCAGTGGTTCAAGGATGACTCGGAGGGAAGGCTGCCATTTCCTGACTCACCATTCCCATTTCCTGTAGCCTGGTCTTTCAAGTCTCCATCCCATCACCAGCTCCTGAAGTAAACCCTCTTATCATGTGAAGTGCAATGAAGTCACAGCCCCCCCCAGACTCTGTCTATCCATACTTTCCCTCGTCCATGTTTTTGTCTGGAAATTTGTTGCTCATACTGTTAACAAGAACATTTTTCTTACTAAGATCCAAGTAAAATTATTCATAAAAGGAATCAGGTTTGCCAGTAACTGCATGGATTGTGAGAGTTGATTAAATTATTTTGGACCTATGGATGCTCTCATGCTGTGAAAAGGCTTCCTATTAAGCTTTATTCATAAAAAAAAGTTGATAAGTCACCTGATAGCACTCCTCCTGTCAAAAATGCAAGTAGAATGAACACAGAGGTATTTAGTAAAGAAACCTCCCATTAACAACAGCAGATTTGAAATAGGGATGATACTCCCAAAAGTATTACTCACTATCTCAGTGATACAGTGCATGCTATATCTGCCTCCTCCAAAAAAGAATGGAAGAACAGACCTGAACAAGAACATACACCAAGACATTTCACAGTGATAACGGTCACAACCTCATAGCTATAATCTTAACCAATTAGCTGTGTCTGTTTTGGTCTGTTCAGGCAAACCTAATTAACAACTTCAAACAGCATTTTGCAAAATACCAGCTCTAATCTTAAACTATATAAATCACTAGGGAAAACTGCACTTTGCCCCTGATCTGCTATGTTTATTTCTGCAGAGACCTTTTACACTGAACTTCATTCAAGTGTACAAAAGCCTAATAAAATAGATGAAATTCACTTAGGTACATCTCACCCCCAGGAGGCTGTGAGCTTGCCTTGGGTAGCCTTAAGGAGATGTATTCTAAGTCCACTTTGGTTGGATCTGTGTAGTAATTACAAGTAGAATACACAGGGGAGGCAACCGCTCTGACCACACACCTGCAGTGCCTGGCAATGGAAATGCAGGTCCCTCTGTTCTAAAAGGAAAAACAGAAGCACTCAAAGCTTTGCAGAAGTCTGGAAAAATTACTTTGTAACAAGGAAAAACAAGGAGAGATCAAAAGTGATTCATTTTCTATGCTAATATCCTGGCTCTGAAAGTAAAGCAAGCAAAATTTCCTGACTTTCTGCAAACAAAACAATTGTCAAGCAAAACAGTCAGTAGCAAGGGTGAAGAAATAATGCCCAACAGGGGAGAGCAGGGGAGGAGAGGGGAGGGGAGAAGATGGGAGGGGAGGGGACAGCAATACAACTGCTTTGCACCTAATACACGACTAATAGGAACTAAAAAGGTGCTGCATGAGAGAGAAACAGAAATGCTCACAATACCAAAGAGAGAGCCACAAAGGAGCTATGAATTGATGACATATTAAGGCATCTGGCCTACAGCACCTAAGAATAGTTTTAGCAACCTTCTCCATGCACCTATCTGAGCAATATCCCAACTCCATGAGATGGTATGTGAGCACCAACCCTACACAATCATTTGGACTCAGGAAGAAAAGGCAGACAGAGAGGCCAAAATGGCCCTGCAGAGCTCTTTGACCTGGCCTCCATCTATGCCAGTATCTTGCTTTTCAGAGAAAGGGCTTTACGGTATTCAGATGGAGCCATAGGTCTTCTTCCTTTTGAGGTGCTCTCTAAACCCTTCTTCTGGCTTGCAAAGCTGTGGTCACCCCACTGGAGATCTCCCTAAGGGTGCTTGCAACCTTATTTTCCATCCCACACACTGGATGGACCCCATTTTCAACATTCAGTGTGGATCTCTTCTTTATTTTCTTTGGTCTTCCATCTCTGTTGCCACTAACATGCAAACAATTTAAGAAGAATTCTTTCTGGGTGAGGGAAGCAACATAACAAAGCAGGGAATAATAGATACAAAATGAGCTTCTGTGGCTGAGAAGGGTTCCATGTTGGGCAGACATAAAAACAGCAGCAAACAATTACAAAACCAATTAACCCGTACCAGAAAAATTACCAGGGACTAAATGAGAAACAAGATTCAGAGGTACAAAGCTCAGTTTGTCCTAAGAAAGCCAGTGAGGCTGTTGACAAGTAAGTTTATCATTCTGTGTCCCGCCAACCTCCTATTACAGCATCCAGCAACCATCAGCCCACCCAAGTCCTACTGTCAAAAGAGCTGTATGTTCTCACTGACAAATGTAAAGAGTTCTGGAAAAACATGTCCAAACCCCAAAGCCTCACACACAGCACCTTACAGTTTTTAACTGTTATAAAACCACCCTGAGTAATTTCCAAAATCACGGCCAGACCCTAATGAATTACTTTTCATAACAATGTTGTGGATGTTTCTGTTAACATGTTGAGCGTATAAATTTTAATTTCTTCATTTGGAGTTACTCTGTGCATAGACTTTATGTTCTTTTCAGGAGACAGCAGACAACAATGCGGCTGCACTCAGTCAGGGGGCATCTTCTGGAAGGAGAAGGAAATTGTGCTTTTCCAAGAGCAGTTGAGCAACTTTTCGGGGGAAAGGTTTCTGGAGTGCAGAACAAGTCTGACAGAGTGGTGAAATGCACAAGAAGTAGAAGAGCAGAAAGATGCAGAAAGAAGAACTCTGAGAGAGGCAGAGGAGATACACAACCAAGAGCCCAACCTGATATAAATACTTCTCTCAGGATGCTGAGAGGGGGTTGTGAAGACTTCCTTACAGTGCAGGAAGCCACTGAAAATTGTGGGCTGAGAAAAAGACCAGAACATAAGGACACATTGCTTAATAGTGGGAAAGGCAGAAATGGGTTAAATTTCCAGTGTCTCCAAATATCTTCCTTTTAAAAAGTTAATGGTTCTGGCTTATCCTCTAATGAAATCATGTTCTTGTTGGCAGCATATATGCTAAAATTTGAACGATACAGAGAAGATTAGCATGACTCTGCACAAGGTGGTTTGGGGATAGCAGAAGGCTCCACAGTACAGTGAAAATATTGACATACTGGAGCAAGTCCATCAGCAGGCCACCAGACTGGTCAGGGGGCTGGAGCACAGGCATACGAGGAGGTGCTTAGAGAGAGAAGTTCATTCAGCTTGGAGAAGAGGAGGCTCAGAAGAGACCAGACTGCTGAAACTACCTATCCTTAGGCTACAGATAAGACAGAGCCAGATTATTCTTGTGTGTGCCCAGTAATGGGCAGTGGATGTAAGGTGGAGCATGGCAAGTTCTATTTAGGTATAATAAAAATGTTTTACCATAAAGGTGGTCAAATACTGGAGCAGGGGATGTGGACTTTCCATCTTTGAAGGTGTACAGGGCTTGACTGGGCATGGCCCTGAAGAATCTGTTTAGCTAGACCTCCTCTGAGGAGGGGGCTGGACTAGATGACCTCCAGAGGACCCATCTAATGTAAATTCTTCTGTGATTCTGTGAAACTTGGCTTTCTAGGTTCAAAGACCTGTTGGTTTTAGTTGTTCTTCACCTTAAAGACAAAGTGCAAGAAAGATCACTGTCAGACATACAACCCACACAGGCTGATTAAAAAATGTCATGTCACTTTTGTGAACAATGTTTATATTTTATACTCTTGTTGGCAATACTTCTTATTTGTATGTTCTACAAGACTCTGCTATCTTGGGCACTTGATTCTATCTGTTTTACCTCTGCGCCTTGCTCTCAAACCCTACCTTGCATCAACACTAATCTCTATCCTATTGCTTACCACCTAAGGATTAAAAAGTTTCTATAGGTAGTAGTCTGTATGACTATAGGGTAATGAAACTCAAGATAGACATAATTTGATTCCTCCCCCTTTTTATTTTCCTAAAAGAAAATGTGTGTCCTCATCCAGTGCTTAGCCTGTCTTTTAAATTGCAAGTGATAGTTAAAAAAGGATTAGGTTCCTTACCTATATATACACACATACACATGTCCACATCTATACATACCCACCCATACCAGAGATACCAAGTCTTGTTTATTTATTTTTTTTACATCTCATGCTTTCAGAGAGCCATACCTTCTGCATGTGCAGTACAGTGAATGAGCAGTGGTCCTATCCTTTGGTGTGCTGACCAGCTGTACCCAGTCTATCTCAGGGAAGCTTCCAGGTTGCATTCTCATTGAGAGAGAGCACTTACACTGGACTACAGTGCCTCCTCCACAGGTGCAGTCTTCACAGTCCTCCCTCTTGCATGGGTGGCTTTACTCTGTATTCCAGGGACAGCCCTATCACAGTAGAAACACTTCTCTCCTGTACAGCAAAGCTGATAAAATGCAGGAGGACACAACTTGCCATGCTTTCCCTTACTGCTAGGTTTTGGGTTTACTTTACAAGAGATAAATATTGAGAAGAGAAGACGTCAAGAGTCTGAAGTTCTTTTAGATCAACCATTTAGATCACTTTTAGATCACTTTCCAGTCCTCAGTAGGCTACTTCATATCCACATCTTGGCTCCACCATAGATACAAAGGGCAATTATAGCAACACCACAACAGAAGCTGTGGGACTTCACATCTACAGAGCTCTTTGCAAATATAAACTGCACAAAAATATAAATTCTTTTCTGTAACCCCTTCAAAAGAAAATATGCAGAAGCTGGTAATTCCTCACAGTTTCTCTGCTGGCATGGAGTAAGGAGTAGCATCAATGGCAGAATGTTGAGTCTTTACAAAGAATCTATGATCTCAGGCAAGCAAAATTTGTCAGTTTAATGAGATACTGCAAGTTAGTCAACTGTTTCATTGCTTTGGCCCCTCAGAAGTGTGTTAGGCATTGATTACAATTACATAGTGTAAATTATTCTAGTTTGTTCAGTACCTCAAGTAATCAGCAGTAACTCCTCATACGTTTGAACTCTGATGCTGGCATTCCCATGCCATATCTTGTTAGACATTCAGACAACTGTGCTGATCACATATTTCCTCTTACTTTAATAGGCCTTTCAGGAATGAACAAGCAATCCCTTGTATACTACTATAGTTCCCATCACTTGATGGTCACACTTAATTAAGCACTAGTTTAGTAGAGAGCTGGTTACACTTCATTTCATTAAGTGATTTCATGATCACCAGAGGTACACTGACAGCTCTGTTAGCTGAAGCTATGTGAAAAGGGGCAGCAGAGACAACAGTAACATTTTGCAGCACTTCCTCTCCAGTGATTTTCCAGGCACTACTCTTGCAGAGCACATCTAGTTACATTTCCATTAGCATTTAGCTTTTTGGCTCAAAGCTATCTCAGACTTGAGGTATGATAGCCCGTATCGTATTACTGCTACCTTTAGCAATGTTGGTCACCAAATCCTTAAGGTCATCATTTTTATATAAAGTAGATACTAAGAATTTCTTCATCTGTCTTCTCTCCTTTAGGTATTTCTGTTCATGGTCAGCAAATAAATGTGATTAAAGGACAACATCTCATTTTAAAAATGTAAGCAAGAATCAATTGTGAAACAAGAAAATGTTGAAAGGTTCTCCAGTATGATAAACCAGGCAGTTTAAAAACACTGGGCAATTAACTCTAAAGTATATAAGTATCACATGACAGGAAAAACACAAGCAATGTTACATAATGGACATTGCAGGATATATGTAAAACCACATATTAAAGCTGTATGCAACAAAAAACTTCTCACAACAGTTTATGTTCATTCATAGGGATATGTAATGCACAGATGCTTTAATGTTTCTAACGTGAAAGCATTTTTCCTAATTGAACGGGGGGGGATTTTGCATGACTGTACTTCAAACCTAGATCTAAAGTTCAATCTGCCTGTGTTTTAAGACATATTTCAGTTTAAGAGGGAAAGAAGTATTAGGAAAACACCATCATAAAGGAGAACGAGATGAAAGAGGTACAGATGCATAGCAAAAGCCAAAAATAATGCTAAAGACTTGATTTTTGTTGTGAAGCCCTTTGTCACAGAGATTTGCATTCAAAAACTGTGAAAATTGATAAAGGTTATCTCATATAAAAATAGCATCTTTGTTCTATCTGGCCTTTAGTTCAAATTATATGAAGACATAGCAGAACATTTATGATACACTATAACCAGACAAGAAGAAAAATAAAAATACTTTGTGCTGAAGAGCCAAATGATATGACTACTTGTTACTGTCATTCCTGTTCTATATAAGAGTCATGAGATTGACATACTAATGAAAAGCTTCCTACATATTTCATCTGTTTTCACTTTCCTATACGAATTATGCTATTATCGTTTGTGATGAGATGGGTTTGTCACCGGAGTCCAGAATATAAGGGAGACACTTCATTCCTAGGTGGAATTCTGTTTTGTGTGTCTTCACAAACACACATACATCACATAAAAACAAATTAAAAACCAAACAAAAAAACCCCTCATCTAGCAATGAAACCACATAACGATGTATGGAAAAATGCACCATGCCACCCCCCACAGTTTACAACACAGTTATGAGAGGTTTCATGTAAATTGTGTGAACTTTTGCTTAGAAATTACACTTGTACTAACGGGGGGGGGGGGGGGGGGAAACAAACCTGCACTGATTTTTATGACTGGACTGCACAAACTATTGTTCTAAATAATATATATTCTTATAACATCTTTCACACATGTAGTCTTCACAGTAACTATATCCCTGTTCCAAATTTCAAGGCAGAGTAAATGATATGCCAAGCATTTAGGTGACCTGTTTGAAATTGTTTAATGAGTTAGAGTTATCCTGGCTGTCTCAAGCTCTCATACTACATAAAGCACACTCCAACTACAGTTTGTACTGAGTCATTTAGCCACAGATACTGTAAGCAAAAAGAAATTACATTACTTAAGTCTTAGAAAGGTGATATTTTGTACACTCAATAAATCAAGGAAAAGGAAATCAGCAATGGGCTTTCAACCAAAAATACAAATTCGTGGCAAGGTTACTCAGATTTGGTTATCAAGAAAAGATATTCTCACTGTCTTGAGAAGAAATCTCTAGATCAGATCTCTAGATTAGATCTCTTGTTCTGCTAGCACACAAAACCTAATTCCTTCAAGAAAAACTTTGTATTTTTCAGGTAGGTGAAGCATAGCTCAGTAATAACAATTACTTTACTAATGTACTAATGAACAAAAGGTTACTCACTGTAACATAATCTAAATAAACACCCTCCTCCATATCTCTTGAATGGATGACTTGCAGAGCATTTCTCACCCTGCATATCACATATTTTAACCCTACCATTTAACGAGCCTGTCTCATGTACCTTCATATGTTACTTGGCTGCCAGTTATATGCATTGACTGGACACCTCAGTTTTAAAGTGCTGTGCATTCTCTGTGGTACTACAAAAGCAACATTATTGATAACAAAGACAAGTTCCAAAAGGGAAAACAGAAGAACATCCAACTATAAATCTTTGATTTATAGGAGACTCAAAGCTGCATGATTCAAATACCAGAAATTCACTTTCAGGAATTTTGGCAAGTTTGTATAACCAATAAATTGTTACTAGTTTTCCTTGGTATTTGCTATAACATTAATAGTAGTGGATTTCTTCATACATGTTTGATTTTAATATCCAGATCTGTGCGAATCCCTCCGCTGTTTAACAGAACAAAATTAAACATCAATTACAAAGTCAAAGAAGGAAATCTAAAACATTTTCCTTTTTATTAGGCAGATACTCAGAGGCTGAAGATTTAGTCTTCACTGAAAGGCTTTGCCAGCATAACTGCTGTTAATGGTTATGACATTTTTTCTTTGAGTGGCATAGGCAGAGCATGACAAAAGCATTTTTCACATCCATCTTTCACATCTGATTTTATGTATATCTTCCACAAACTTGATATCTTATTTTGTCTCGCAAGCGTTTAAATTAATGAATTTTGTAATCACTGAGCAGCTAAAGATACACAAATCTGGGCTACAATGCCACATGTTTAGATACTACAGCTTTCAAGTGTCTCTTCTCCAGAAAGGATCTGGAGAAGCAAAAGCTCTGATTATTTTCCCTGAAG